ATCCCACCTGTAGCCCCCTCCTTCATCCCCTCCCAAACCTACCCTATCTCCTTCCATGCCCCTCCCCAAGTCTACTGATAGGGAGGGTCCTCTTCCCCTTCCCTCTGACCCTAGCCTATCAGGTCTCATCAGGACTGGCTGCATTGTCTTCCTCTGTGGTCAGGTAAGGCTATTCCCTCCCTAGGGGGAGTTGATCAAAGAGCCAGCCACTGAGTTCATGTTAGAGACAGCCCCTGTTCCCCTTACTAGGGAACACTTGGAGACTGAGCTGCCATGGGCCATATCTGTGCCAGGGGTCTTAAGTCTGTTTTAGTTCTTATATTTATTTAATTTTTATTCTTATTTATAATCTTTTTTTTCCTGGCTTGTTTTGGATTTCTATGACTATGATAAGACAGCATAAACAAAAGCAAGTGAGGGAGAAAAAAATGTATTTGACTTACATAATCTACGGTTACATCCTTACATAACTTATGGTTAATCAGAGGAGCAGAAATGGATTAAATCCATGAATCTTAAGAGGCCATGAATAGAAGCAAATTATTATAATAGTTTCAGAGATATAGTTACATATAGACAGTTTTTCATGGTTATATTTTGAGGATTTTAGAATTCTTTTTCTTTTCTTTCTTTTTAAAAAATTTTTCGACGCAGGGTTTCCCTATGTACTCTTCGTTGTCCTGGACTCACTTTGTAGACTAGGCTGGTCTTGAACTCCCTGCCTTCGCCTCCCTGAGTGCTGGGATTTTACAGGTGTGCACCCACTGCACCCAGCCAGAATTCTTTCTTTTTTCTCTGTCTCTTGTGCCTTATGATTATCTGTTGGAAATACTTGCTTTTTAAAGGTCAGTTGTTAGTAAGACAGAAAGTAAATTTCTCTTTCTAAAAATTAAAATTCCACAGCAGAAGTAATGCAGCTACTTTCTCTATTCTTTTTAAAATATACTGAGAAACTTGGGGCTGGAGAGGTGGCTCAGCAGGTAAGAGCTCCTGTAGCTCTTACAGAGGACCAGAATAGGCGGTCCTTGTGGGATGCCGTCTTGTGGACTCTGTGGACATCTGCAGACACACAGGCACAGACACACAATACATATAATTAAAAATAAAGTAAAACAAACCTTTAAAATATTAAGAATAACACTGTTTTATAAAGTGTTGTGAAATATATAAAATAAAAAACATCCTCATAGCATTAAAAAAATCATTAAGCAGTTTGAAGAAGAAAACATCTTATATGCTATTATCACAGATATCTGTAAGAGTGAAAAGGACTATAATTGTAATCATAGCCTGATCAATGAGATATCCACCCATCCATCCATCCATCCATCCATCCATCCCTATCTATCTATCTATCTATCTATCTATCTATCTATCTATCTATCTATCATTTTTTTCTTTTTTGAGACAGGTTTCCTCTGTGTAGCTCTGGCTATCCTGGAACTTGCTCTGTAGACAAGGCTGGCCTTGAACTCACAGAGAACCACCTGCCTCTGCCTCCCAAGTTCTGGGATTAAAGGCGTGCATCACCACTGCCAATATTGAAATTATAATTTAATCTACAGATATGTGACTGATTTTTAAATCCCAATTTACATTAAAATAGGAACTTTAAAAAGTGAATACCTTTTAGAAAAAAATAGTTTTATTTTTCTAATTTTATTTAAAAATTTTTAGGAGTTAGGAATTTGCTTTAGATTTTCTTTCTGGAAGAGAATAATTTTGTGTCCTGTGGGTAGTGTTTCTAAGGAAATTCCATGTTATCTGCTTTGAAAATGTCTCTTCCTTACTTGGTGCTGAGCCTTTTTGTTCCCTCAGGAGCACGCTCCTGCAGCAGGGGAATGCTCTGAGTCACTTCCCTGCTACCCAGAAGTTCACACAGCCTCTGCAGCCTTCTCCACAGCCTCAGCTTCCCACCTGTGTCTCCTCCCTTTCTGCCCATCAGGGCAGCTCCTTTTTAGCTCTGCTATTTCCTTTGCCTGTCCCGGCATCAGTTATTCATACTCTCAGCTTGATGGTTTTGCTCTCTTTATCCATTAAGATAAAAGAAATCCTACACAATCCTTTTTCAAGATTTTTCTAAAAACTTTTCCTACAGCTATTTGAAGAACATTTTTATACCCCTTTCAAAGTTTCAGTATAATGTAAAAGAGGGGAAATTTCCTCAGAATTTTAGTGGGACTGCTTGTGGTGCGGTGTCTGTGATTTGTCTTGTTTCTCAGTGGCACGGCCAATTTTCAACTAATTAGAAGTATTTCACATGCAAGTTAGGTCAGGCACAGTGGCACAGTGCTTGTTTGCCTCCAGGACTGGGGGAGTCCAGGCATTAAAGGCCAAACTGAGGATCTGGGTTTTAAGCACCAAGAGTCCCAGCTTCTGCTCACAGGCTTTCTTGTGGACGTAGGATGTGGTGCTTGCTGTGTGCCATGTGTTGTGGGCATGGGCTAGTGCCTGATGCTGCTCAGGTGAAAGGTGCCTCGTGCTTGCACCGAAGTGGGTTGCACCTGCATTGCCTGGTTCCCCCTCTTTGCCCGTATTAGCAATCTGCTTTTGTACTTTGACATCTAGGAATTCCCTAGTGAATTTTGTCACAGAAAAAAGAGAATCATCAATATCGCAGTTAAACTTGACTTTCAAAGCTAATAGTATCTCATTTGGGGGCTCAAATTTAATAAATTTTCTTTGATTCTGGGTGAGTTTTTAAACATCAAACAATGAATCGGCCAGGGTGCAGTAAAATATTTAGATCTATTGACTATGGTTCAGAAGGGTAGAAGGCAAAACACTAGTGGTTTGATGTTGATAAATTCTCAGTACCTTAATCCACATTAATGTTTTCTTTTATCTGAGTGATCATTGGTGACAAAAAAATGAAGAAGGAAGGTATACATACCCAAGAAATGTGCAACTCAAAGTAGTTGTATTTGTAAAGTATAGTTTACTTTGTCGTGCTAAGCAAGCGCTAAGTAGCATTTCCATCCTGACAGAAGACGGCAAAGTAGTTAGAGATAAACCACACACTGTGAAGTAGAACTCTAAGAGCATGTAATGGCCACACTTCCCTGAGACATATCCTGCCATATTTGCAGCATACCCTCTGACACTCACGTATTGATAGAAAATCTTGGGACTGGCTTGGGAAAGCAAGGATTCTTCTTATACCCATGTATTAGCATGGACAATTAAAAATGGTATTTGCTGGTTTAAGAAGAAAAAAACCTACAAAATGTGACAATCTGTGAGATGTTTATATTTCTCATATAACTGATTTTATACAGTAATAAATAATTCTAACAGTTTTACAAGTTGCCCGTGTAAAATAGAAAAATGGAGAGTTTGTTTATTTCATTGATTGATTGATTGATTGAATCAGGGTCTGGTTGTATAGTCCAGGCTGATCTTTAGCTTGTATGTAGCCCAGGCTGGCTTGGAGCTTGTGATTTTACGCCTCAGCTTCTCTGTGTTAAGATAATAGGCATGAGCTACAATGTTACAGCTGAGATATTTGGATAAAACAAAATAGAGAAATGTATTCATTTGGCAGATAATCTTATTCTTTATACTTAGCACCCTTCTTGATATGTGTTTCCGTGCTTCTTCATGAAAACGCTGTCATGTGGCTGTTATCTTGTTTGTGTTTGCTTGTGAGAGATCTTTGTGTGTGTGTGTGTGTGTGTGTGTGTGTGTGTGTGTGTGTGTGTGT